ACAGACAAAATTTTGTCTGTTAAATTTTCTCTGCTATGGAGATGATACTTAGCTATATTTTCTTATAGATCTGATGAATCTAACCCGTTAAATTGACTACAGACGTCAACAAATGAAAACCTTAATTACTTTGAATTTTCTGCTTTTAAATATAAACAAGACGAATGTTAACATCTTTGGACAATAATCTTTTCACTTCAGCTGTGCAGCATTAAATTAGTCTTTGAGAGAATTGAAAACTTGGTGTTACTTTTGACCAGGACTTGTCTTTTAAATCCAATCCTGAAGAGGTTTCTAGGATCTTTTTCTCCTACCTAATCAAGTGTTTAACCCCTCAAACTTTCCCTCTAGGGTGTGTTTCCCAGTTCAGATCAACCAGCTGCCCCGGGAGTCACAGCTAACCGTGACACTGTACGCCAGCCCACTGCCGCCCCCTGGAGGAGCCGAGGATAAGGGCAAACAGAGACGCAGTGTTGAGGCTCTGGGCTGGGTCACCATGCCGCTCTTTAACTTCAGACAGTGAGTCACATGATGCAGTCCCCCAAGAAAAGATCAGGAATCACATTTATTGAACTTGTGAATGTCATTTTCCAAGTAAAGGTTGTGATCTTTGGAAAAAGAAACTTGACAGGAGAATATTTGTTCCTCACAACACCTCTGACCTATATGTGTGTGGACTCTGAAAATGGGACAGATAATAGGGAGTGCATTTTCAGGGATCATCAAGATTTCCTGGCCCATGATGATGACTGGCTTATGAGCGCATTGTCTCACCGTACCATCTCTGTTTTTTTACAGCTGTTAATCACTCTGGGGCAGGGGTTGACGTTAAGGATTTTTACCACTTGCCCAAAGGGCAAGTGACTTTCACATTTCATTTGCCCAGAAACAATTTTTACTTGCCCAGTATAATGTTTCATAAATATAGTTCCTAATATTCATTTTTGTATCTGTATCAATGAAACATATTTGTTTTTTAAATGTTTTTTGTAATTCAGTATTTTTTAATTTTACAGGTTCCTGGTGTGTATATGCATGCGTCAGATAATGAACTCAAGCCTACATTACCGTGTTAACCTGCTTTTCAATCCTTCCTGCACATTCTTTTCAAACTAAACTTTGCTTTAAACTGTTGTGTGCTTGGGAAAATATAAATTGTGATGTTAAAAATCTAAAAAAATTAGAGTCCCAGTATGTTTATACAAGATAATACTATTAATATAATTTGACTTTTCTAGAGAATCATTATACATAGTTATTTTACACAGGGTTTCCACAGTCTTACATATTTTCAGAATTCCTTGACTTTTAACTGACTCAGGATTAGTTTTCCCTGACAAAAATAAATGCAGCAACAAGACAATAATACTAACATAACAGGTCACCAATTTAACATGTTTAGCTCTATAACATTTAAATGCACCTCTCCAATGTCTGAGAGAAAAAATTAATGAACATTTTTTAATGTATGACCACTGTACAGAAGACTGCCACATGATAGCGCTTTCTAGCTTGTTTGTCGTTTTGGTAACTACATCAACATTACCGCTAGGTTGACAAAACTCACGCCATCTGGCGGAAAATCTCGCGGCTTTTTCAAATCACACGGGAATGTGTACAAAACAACAAAAATGGCGCCGGCTGGGTAGCTTTCAGCTAAAGTCAGCGATTTTAAAGTAATCACTGCACTTGCCCGGCGGGCAAATGCAATAAAATTTGTACTCTCCCGGCAATAAAAAGTACTTGCCCCGGGCGATCGGGCAATGGTTAACATCGAGCCCTGCTTCTGGAGTACCTGGCATTCGGCTCTTACCAGCACAAATTAGCCCACAGTTAAACAAGTAAATAACTCTCTGCCTGATGCCAGTAAAATTCTCGGTGTCTAAGATATCACAGCCAGCGCTAAGCACAAACCCTACAACGTTTGATGCCATGTTCAATGTCCTTGCTTAAAATTAGTCCATACACCAAACTCTTGATACTCCCTTTAACGTGTTACAGCACTACAGTGGGTCCTATGCATATTTATCCAAGTCTTCACCTCACTCACCAAGACATCTATTTAAGCCTAGGTTAAACTGTGTTTTTTTTCTGCTCTCTTCTCTGTGTTCTCCAAAAACAAATCTACGTACATAAGGTCATTAGCATTGATCATTTATGGTTAAATATGGTTGAGTGGGTAGAGGTTACAACATGACGCATATCTGCACTTTTAGGGTGGTTTCTACACAATGTTTTATAGATGAGGCCTCACACCTGTATGGTTCTCCCTGGTTAGCAGTCTGTCTATAATCTGGTTTAGTCTAATTAGTTAATGATGTGACCCAGTCTATCTACATGATGTTAGTCTCCTGTGGGATACAGATGAACAGAAACAAACAAAGCCTCTTGCTTTGTTCTGTTTAGCTCCTGAACCGAGGTCCAACAGCTCTTTGTGATCCAGTTTTTGTGACGTTCATCAGGACACGAACCCCCTGAGACTAAAGCAGAGTTACAATACAACAGAAACACACAGTTGGGCTAAATAAAGTTGGTTTAGCTCTCTCAGGGTTTTATGTGATGCAAGTGTATTTCTTATGTGTGTGTAGCGTCCTGACATGCGGCAGGAAGTTATTGGGTCTGTGGCCTTCAATGCCAGGGAGGAGCGGAAACGCCAGAACCAGTTGTCCCAACTTCAGCCAGCCAGACAGTGTCATCCTGCAGGTAAGAGCTGCACATGGACAGGTGAGCAGTTATCTGGTTACCTGCGTAACACCTGTAACACACATCAAAGCTGGAAGTACACTGGGGACGGGCAATCTTAAGAGGGTCCTGCTGACTGCTAGTCACGTGACCTGTGCTAACCTGAGCTATAGGTAGCTCCTCTGCAGGTCAGATGACCAGAGTAGGAGGAAGCAGTTTGATCTGATTGTTAGGATTAAAGCAGGATTCAGACGGCAGCCTTAGATGGTCAGTGGAGACCTTCATCATACTGTTAGTCAGAAACAGTGGGGAGTGATTAGATCGCTTCAGAGTGAATGCTCAGCTGCTCAGTGCTGGAGTTTCATAACAACGAGCAGCTGTTCCTTACTGCTGAGGTGACGCAGCTTTAGGAGCCACTGCTGTCAAAAATATATAACAGAAGCATAATCATCCCAGTCTGAGTGAACTTCTAAATGAAGATGTTAATCTACCTGATCTGACCGTTCTGAGCGCAACCTTCTTCCCATCTTAATTTGTTTTTATTTATTTATTTGAATTGGGACAATGCACATTGTTTCTGTTCTGCCAAAAAAAAACACAAAAAAAAAAAACTTTCACATCAGGTTCTTATCCTGTCTGAGGTGCAACAACAAGCTGGGGAACAATGCTTGATTCCAAAGATCTCCAGCGTTTTATTGTCATAACACTCACAAGTACAGAGCAACGAAATTCACTCGCTGCATTCAACCCTCCCCTTGGGGAGCAGTGGGCTGCCATTGTGCGGCACCCAGGGAGCAGTGTGGGGGTTGAGGGTCTTTGCTCAAAGACTCGGAGTGGCAGTCTGTGGGAGCTGGGCTTGAACTCAGAACCTCTGGAATCCAAGCACAATGCCCTAACCACTAGGCCACAACTCCCCTTTCTGATTGAAGATCCTCTTAGCTGTGGAGCAGGGTCCGACTGAGTGATGGTGGCTGTGTCTGTTCCTCAGGTGGACTTCCCCACGTCCTCTTTCGAGGTTTTCTTCAGTACTCCTGCTCCAGCAGACTTCTGTCCTCAGTATGAATTCAGCAGACTGGACACCGTCGGTCAAATCCAGCTGCAGGACGTCCTGCAGAAGAAGGCCTTCTTCTGGTCAGACACTCATGAACCCATACTTATCACACACATACACCAATACACAAGCCAAAGCTTATTACCATGTCAGTACCATGTTTTTACCATTCCAGGGACACATTAAACATGTTAGTACAATGTTCTATACGTGTAAGTTCTATGTTATTAACGTGTTAGTACTAATGTTATGGGTTCCCCAGTAGCATGTACATGTTATTATGCCAGCTTGGTTATAAAAACGTCAGTATCAAGTTATTAGCAAATTAGTACCGTGTTATAAATCTATTATTACAATCACATTCATGATATACACATTCAACAGTATTTTATTTCCGTGTTGTTAACATCCTCTTTAGATTATCTTAATATCATCTCACCGTCATTAATGTGTCATCTACATGTTATTCCCCTGCCATTCCCTCTTAATCTGAGCGTTGTGTGTCTGCAGGTTGACTCCGGAAGACAAGCGGCTCCTGTGGGAGAAGAAAGCCTTCTGTCAGTCAGAAAGTTCAGCCCTGCCTCTGGTTCTGGCAAGCGCCCCCTGCTGGCAGTGGACATGTCTGCCTGAGATCTACGCTCTTCTGCGTCAGTGGGCATGTCTGGGTCACCTGGACGCTCTGGGCTTGCTGCATGCATCGTATGTTCTCATCTAAAGGGAAAAGGCACCTGGCCAATCACATCACTCATATAGCCTAACTCTTTGTTTACAATCAGAAACCTCTGATCACCTGACTTCAACAACTTCCTGTGTGTTCCAGATTTCCAGATCAGGAACTAAGGAGGACGGCGGTCCAATGGATGGACTCCATATCAGACCCGGAGCTTCTGGACTTTTTGCCTCAGTTGGTTCAGGTATAAATACCACAGAGGTTTCTTGCAGTGAATAACTGAGCATTCTCAGTGAGAGTTCAGTCTGAAGAATCTAGATTTCTTTATTCATAAAAAGGCAGGATTATCACACTATTATCACACTAGATACTGTAGGCAGCAGCCAAAGCCAGTTGTTTAGTTCTTCATTATCGGGTCTGTACTAAAAGGTTCTGTCTTTGTCGCAGGCTGTGAAGCACGAGTGTTACCTGGACAGCTCTCTGGTCCGGTTCCTCCTACGGAGAGCCATCGGGGACATTCGGATCGCTCACTACTTATTCTGGTGAGCAGCAGCTTCTCTTCAACATCAGCTCTAATCTGTTCAACTCTGATTCTTTAAGGAGGTCAGAAGGTTTATGGTCAACACTGAAGCGTTACTGTCAAGAAGTTTTACTCCAGAAACCCAGTCAGAGTGATGCCTCTTTACCTCGTAGGAGGTCTTTGTCAGGATCAGTTGGTCAGTCTTAGTTATTGATCATTTCCTGTCCAGCAGCTAAACAATGGAAATCTTCCTGTTTGTCTCCACGTCAGGCTGCTGAAGGACAACCTACAGGACAGTCAGTTTAGCGCTCGCTATCAGCACCTACTGGCCGCTCTTCTTTGCTGCGTGGGCCGAGCTCTGAGGGACGAATTTGACCGGCAGTGCTGGATGGTCTCCATCCTGACCAAGGTTGCCCAGAAGGTTAGAGACGCCACACCTTCTAGCAGACAGGTGAGGAAGAACGGACTGAGTTTAACATCAAAGCTATTATTTAATCTGCGTTTATCCAGGCACGTCTAATAATCACAGAAAAATGTTCCAATTTGTAAAATATAACTTGTGGTTTAAGATCTTTTTATTTAAATGGTAACTAGAAGTCGCTAATGAACCTGACCACACCTTTAAATTTGTCGTTTTTCATAAATGAATAAATGTTTTTTATTTTAAACATATAATATTGAAAATATTCCGGTGAGGCTTCTCAGTCATCTAGGTCATAGTCATTCCAAAAAAAAAGTTAAAAAGCAAACCAGTAGACTTTGTTTGAAGATGTTTCACTTCCCATCCAGGAAGTTTTTTCAATGCAAAATGTCAGAATTAACATTGAGTTCCAACCTTTATAGAGTAGCCCAAACAAAGCCTTGTTGTGGCTTAGAAAACATACAAATTGAACCGGAAGAACAGGTCAACCCCATAGGAACGGGGAGTCATTGAGGTCTTTGTTAGCCTGCAATACCCAATACCTGTTTATGCCTCTGAAACAGGGAAGTCAATAGGGGCATTGTTGGCCTGGCTGACCGTGTGAGTTGTCACGGTCCCCTGTTCAACGTTTTTATTTTCTTTTTTTTTTTGTTTCTGCATTTTTATTTTTATTTTTTTTCCTACTTGCTTTGAATCTGTTTTATTTTCCTATATTTTAATCATGTAAAGCACTTTGCATTGTCTTTGTATTGAATTGTGCTATATAAAATAAATTTGCCTTGTCTTGCCTTGCCTTGCAGATAATGATAGCAGGAAGGAATCAACTCACAATGCACTGTAGCATTGGGAAAGCTGAAACCTGAGTCAACCCCCTCTGTTTAATGTTGTTTTTTTCTTTCTTAACATAAATGGCTTCCTTCATACCTCTTGTCTTCTTTGTCCAAAATGTGAACATTCTGGTCCTCAAAAGAATGTTTTATGTCCTTAAGGTGTAGATGTACAGCCGAGTCTTGTCCAGGGGAGGTAGCTCTCCTGTGTTGAGCCATGTATCTGTGGAGAGGATTTTTTGGTTTTTCCAATATAAAGATCAGAGCATTCCTCACTGCATTGAACTGCATACACCACTCCGCTCACCATAGGTCTGGGGGTTTAGTCTTAAGGAAGCACTGGTCTCTGTTTAAGGGGGTCTTGTTGTTTTGAAATGTACTGGGATTTTGTGTTCAGAGAAAATCCTTTTGAGTTTTTCAGAGACCCCAGCAACATACTGGATGGGGATTTTGCGTTTAATCTATATTGTGGACTTTTTTTTTTACATATTTTCGAATCAGTTGAAAATGCCCCTCCCACAACAAAAAGACACGTTGTTGTCTGTCCAGTGATATGGGAACAAATTGAAACATTTCTTTATCCAGGACCCGTATATAGCAGGGCATTGCAGCTGCTTTCCATGATACCTAAACATTTTGCTCTCTGTGTGTTTGTTTGTTCAGGCGGTTCTGAGAGAAAGTCTGGCGGAGATGAAGCAGTTCTTCTCAGTGAACAGCACCTGCAGACTTCCTCTGAACCCAGCACTGCTGGTCTCAGGAATCAACATCCAGGTAACTCTCACCTGCAGACTGCAAACTAACCCCACTGGAAAACTTCTATCACGTCCTCTAATACTTTAAAGAACTTTTCTCTAGTTTCTGATAACTTTCCTAATTTTAAAGTTTTTCTTTTGAGACGATGTCCGTCTTTATGGATATTTTACAGAGCTGAGGCTTAGAAAATAAAAACCGAAAGGATCCTGGAACAGCGTCATCTGTCTGCAGCCTGAGGTTTTCACAGGTTGTTCTCTTTGTTTCAGGCCTGCTCCTTCTTCAACTCCAACGCAGTCCCTCTAAAGCTGTCCTTCCAGAACCTGGACCCCCGAGGAGACAACATTAATGTCATCTTTAAGGTAACGCCTGTCTGTTTGCACAGCTAGGTCCACATCTGGACAGCTGTGAGAACTTAATATTCATCTGTTTGCAGTCAGGAGATGACCTGCGGCAAGACATGCTGACCCTACAGATGATCCGAATCATGAACAAGATCTGGATCCAGGAAGGGCTGGACATGAGGATGGTGATCTTCAAGTGCTTCTCTACGGGCAGAGGACGAGGTGAGGACGGGGTCCACACACCTTTACTCCATTTAATCCAGCTGTTTTCAGGTCTGACTGGCTGTGTCAACTGTTCCCAGGAATGGTGGAGATGATTCCTCACGCTGACACACTGAGGAAGATCCAGGTGGAGCATGGAGTCACAGGATCCTTCAAAGATCGGACGCTGGCCGACTGGCTGCAGAAACACAACCCCACCGATGAGCAGTACGACAAGGTAGCGCTGCATAGCTGGAGGCTTTTATTCTGAAGGGTTTCCTTTGTAACAGGAAGCCGCGTTTCCCCCTTCTGTCAGGCGGTGGAGAACTTCATCTACTCTTGCGCCGGCTGCTGCGTGGCCACCTACATCCTGGGAATCTGCGACCGGCACAACGACAACATCATGCTGAAGACCAGCGGCCACATGTTCCACATCGACTTCGGGAAGTTCCTGGGACACGCCCAGATGTTTGGAAACATCAAACGGTGAGAGACTCGCTCAGAACACCCCTTCCAAACTTGTTTAGATCAGACTGACCGGCACGAACTGAGCTGTACCTGTAACGGCTGCCCCTGTAGGGACCGCGCCCCCTTCGTCTTCACCTCCGACATGGCGTACGTTATCAACGGAGGGGACAAACCTTCCAGCCGCTTCCATGAATTTGTGGATTTGTGCTGCGAGGCTTACAACCTGATCCGGAAGCACGCACACTTGTTTCTCAACTTGCTGGGCCTGGTGAGCACACACACCCCTACATGCAGAAGGTATTATGAGGACAAAGATCCATAGTCTTCATTCTAAACTGGACACACGACTCTACCTTAAAGTTCTTTGTTAAATAATTTTCTCATCATTAACATGAGGAGGCTGGGGTTTTAAGATGTCTTCTTTTTATTCATGGTCTTCAGTGGTTCTAGTGAAGAACATCGAAGCTATTTATCTAGAGAACATTATCTGAAACGGCAGCTATACTTTGAAGTGAGCTTTGGTTTCTGTGGTTTCAGATGCTCTCCTGTGGGATTCCTGAACTGTCTGACCTGGATGACCTGAAGTACGTCTATGATGCTCTGAGACCTCATGAGTCTGAAGCTGATGCCACCATGTATTTCACCAGGTACACCTTCGCCTGCTGCCTGCTTCCTTACCCACAGGGTACTTCTGACCTACAGTGGCTAGCGGGTCTCGTACATGGTGCTTGTTTTCTATTGAGGCCCCATGGGTCCTGAAGGGCCCTTGTAGAAAAGGGCATCAAATGATTCTTCTTCTCTCCTGAACCCAGACGAGCATCCTAATGTTCCACTGTGGGTCATATCGGGTCCACAGTAGGGTTTTCTCTCTCACTGCGGATGTTCTGCTGTCTTGTTGTTTTAGAGACATTTGTTGGATGGTTCTCAGTCCATTAAATGTCTGGGGTCGTCTCAGGTTGTCTGAGTCCTACTGATCCTGCATGTCTGTGGTCATGTAAGCCCAGTTTATTAATCAGGGCTGCCTGTATGGAGCTAAATTGGGGCCTTAAAGTTTGTTCAAATCATTTAAACCTGAAAAAATAGGTTGGTAAAAAATAAAAACTTCTCAGATATAAGGTTTTTTTTTTTTTTTTTTTACTTAAAGATTTTTGGCTTTAAAATTATGGCCCTGTTTTGATTAACAATTTAATACTGTGGCTGAACAATCTATTCCCAGCTGTTGCATTCAGGGACAGTGCATCCAGGTGGTCTACCTGAAAGTGTTAAGAGAAATCTCTTAACACAGACTTAAAAAAAACGTGTAAATTTGTCACGATCCTATTTTATCCTCCAAGATTTGTGTCATGTCACTTTCTTCTATCAGTGAAATGTGTTATTTTTCCAAAACCAATCCTAAACACATAGAATATTGATAATGTTTTAAAGACTTTTCCGGTTCCCACGGTTCTTAAATGCAACACGTGGGAATAGGTTGTTCTGCCTCAGTGTCAAAGCTTTTAGTCATGATTCTAAAACTCGTTTTGATAATAATAATAATTTAACTTTATTGATCTCACATTGAAGAAATGTACCTCTGCATTTAACCCATCCCCTTGGGGAGCAGTGGGCTGCCATTGT